GGGGGCCGGTGTCGCCTCTTTGCCTCGTCGTCCCCTATTCGCTGCCCGGTCGTCGCGTGGGCCGCCGACACCATGAAGATCTGGACTTCCGAGCATGTCTTTGAGTAAGTTTGGGGCGCGGAGGCCACTCTGGGACGGGCGGGAAAGTTGGGCCTGGAGCCAAGGCGAGGCGGAGGCGACCCTCACGAAGCTTCCAGGCGTCGGGCCTAACGAGGAGGGCCGAGCCTGGGGCCCACGGCAACCGTGGGGAGACGCAGGATGGGACCCAAGGTCACGACCCCGAGGCACTCTGGCCTCCAGGCCCGGGCCGCCACCCGTCCGGGAGGGCGGCCGAAGCCACTTCCGGCAGGTCCCCCGGGAGGCGGCCTCGGGCGCCCGCGGCCTCCGGAGGTCGTGGGGGCGTCGCGGAGCACGAGGTCTTTGACAGCACTCAGAGTTGCCACATCGGGCCTTTCGACACCTGGCAGGACGCGGGCCCAGGATTCCGAGAGGGAGGCGGGGGTTCTCCCTGGAGTCCGGCCACCGCTGGGGTGGAGTGTCTCACCTCCTAAGGCGAATTTCGGGTGAAGTTGGGCCTCCAGGCCCTGAGTTGCCCATCTTCATCTGAGAGATGGAAGGTGACCGTGCAGCCCGGGCCTACCAATGTGGGTATCTTTGAGTTCAGTAACTAGCCCTTTTGGGCTAGTGTGAAATTTTAAGTAGCAGAAATAGGCCTTGAGCCAGCTATGTGTTGGCAATGAAATTCACTTCCAGTTCTGTGATTCCATATACATAAGAGCCAAGACTACAACCAGCCTAAATAGTTCATTTGTAATTCTAATACTCTTTATTGGTTAGTCCACCTTTCTCTCGCTGATTCAAAATGTCACCTTTGTCATAAACACTGCTGTGATTTATATATAGGTGACTATTTCTGTTCCACTGATCTTGGCTATTGCTGCCACACCGTTTTAACTTTTATCCCTTTGTGGTATATTTTAGTTTGAGTGTCCAAATTTTTAAAAGTGTTTCAGAGGGTAGTGTTAAAAGAAATTGTCAACATTTGTACATACTCTGTGAATAAGACATTTCTGAGGGTCCGCTGTATCTTGGAAAGTATAGAAAATTAGAATCAGAAGGAAGGTCTCTTTTCTCCCTATTGTTTACAGTCTTTTGGGAGGTCTTTCTGATGTTCTTTAACCTGGCCACCAGTCCATTTCAGCACCTGGGATGCTTAATGCCAGTCCTCTTCCTGGTTTGAGTACTTCAAAAGTTCTTGGCACTGAGTCTCCTTCAAACCATCTTCCTGCTTGTGTTCCCTAATACTCTTTTTCCTGGCTTGGTCCCTGCTTCCCTCTCCCCTCCTTCTGCCTTTTTCTTAAAATGTCCCTTTTTCTCTTTCAGTGTAAATGTTCAGTGAGATTCTGTTGTTAGCCTTCCTGTGTTGCATTTCATCTATTATCTCTGTCTTTTTTTTTTTCTTTTTGTCACAGACTTCTTTGAGATTTGATTAAAGCTCTGGGACCTTCCTCCTAGAAGATAAAAATATCTAAATGAATGCCGTACCTGTCCTAGGTGAAGAAACCCTGATCTATGCTTTCTCTCCAGATAATCTGAGCTATTTGGCCAAGGTCCCAACTGATATACACTCGTTTATGGCACCCACGTCTGTACCTAGAGCTGCAGACCTTTCAGGTGCCTAACAGACATCACTACCCACTTGTCTCACAGGTGCTTCAGACTCAGCCCACCTGAAATCCAGGTCATAATCTCCCCTCACAAATCTTAACCATTTTTTGTTGTTTCTCACCTTCGGGTGTTACTCTCCAATGATAGCTAAGTTATCATTCTACATCTCATTCATCTTTGATTTTCTAACCCTTCCTTCTGAGACCTACCTAGCATGTAGTTGGCATGCAATTGAAGTCATTCATTGATTCCTTCAACCGGGATGTCCAGTATGTGCTGGGCAGTGTTCTTTGAATTGGTTACATTTAGGTAAATCAGTCAAGACATAGTCACTGGCTCAGTAAAGTTAACAATGTCTTCTCGTGTTGGAGATGAAGAAACTGGACAGCGCAGTAAGCCACAGCCAAGCTCTCCTGACCCACTTGAATTTGGGCGCTGAATGTCTTCCAGTGTGGGATCTCTTTCACATAATTACACTAATACAGTTAATGTTAATTGCTGGAAGACTGTTAATCATAAGATGTCTTTGTAATACTTGAGTTGGGAAAGCGGTCTTAGCCTAACTCTGTCAACATTGATGTTTTCAGGCAGGCTCAGAGAGGAGAGATGGACTAAATTACAATTCATGTATCTTCACCCGAAACCATGCAATTACTAATTTTTTAAAGAGGAGAGAGAGAAGTGCATGGAGGCCAGCTCCCCATGGTGTAGGGCTAGGTGGAGGCAGGGCAGGACTCATCTGATTGTCATTTTAGATGGTTGCCTTGGTAACAGAGTGCTTGGCCTGTTATCAGGACTGTTTAGATTTGTGGGGACTGTTTAGATTTATGAAGCAGCTCTGCTTATACCTCCATTGATTTCTGCGCAAAGCTGGAAATTAAAAACAGAAAGAGATTCATTTATGCAGTGTTACAGAGGAAATGAAAGCATTAAAAATGACGTAGCTGTCCAAAATTCTGGGAAATTAATGGAACTGAGATTTTTCTTCTGTCAACAAGGTGTAGTTGTCAGTCTGAATTCTGTGAAAAAGTTGAAATAGATTAATGTCTACCTGTTTTACTTTTAGAAAAAGTAACGCTGTGTAGTTTTATCAGTCGGTGTCCCTTGAAACATCATCCCCAGATCTTGTCTTTTTCCTTTCGATGAAGGTGAGAGCATGGATAAATGGTTCAGACAGGGTTAGAATCAGCCTGCAGGTGGACTAAATCACCGTCAATACTGATTGTACTTAATAAGGGGTTCTTTTGAGAAGGATGTCTTTTGTACAAGCGTCTTATTCACAGAAGTTGGGAAGTGAACAAAGGTACATCACATTTAGAATCACCAAAGCACATGTGCTTTTTCAAGAAGATAAAGATGCTGCAAGCTCTTCAATGATGTGATATTATTACCACTTCAATGCTAGGTGATAAGCAAATGCTTATTATACTAAAAGAGAATATTAGAAAATAGCATATTAGGAGCGCCTTAAGAACACTTTATTGTATCGAATGCCCTTTCAAAACAACTCAGAATCCCTCCTTTGAGGAAAAACAATGGATAAAGATTGATTGGAGGAACCATTGTTATTTATTACATTAATATAGAGAAAAATTTTAGTAATTTAGTCAATAATGCTTTGGGTCTTGTAATCCCTATAAGAATTTACGGTGCCTATAAGTTCTTTTTATAACCTCATAAAATGGGGTCAGACAAAAGAAGAAATGGTCTAATGACACTTCTTTCTATTTGTTTCAGTAGAATGTAATTTTTAAGTACATTTTCATGAATCAGTAGTTTTTCCTAGGAACAAAATGTACATGTGGAAGCGGGTGACAGTAAATAGGAATGACTGTGTAAGAAATTATATCTTAGTGCTCTATAGGCTACTTGGATCTTTATAGAAGTCAATTGTATTATATAACCTGTGTTGTAGAAAAATACCGAAGTCTGTTAAAAATGTAGATTGATCTCCCATGATCATGTTTCAGAAAGTAATTTTCACTGAGTAAACTCATTAAACTTCCCTTGTAAAGAATGATTTGATGGGTTATAAAGATTGTTTGGTTCATGTGCACATTTTTAAATGTCTGTTTTTTGGTTCATATTGGCAGCCACCCGTGGGAAACCGTCACAACAGCTGCAATGCAAAAGTACCCAAACCCTATGAACCCAAGCGTAGTTGGAGTTGATGTGCTGGACAGACATATAGATTCCTCTGGAAAGTTGCACAGCCATAGGCTTCTCAGCACAGAGTGGGGACTGCCTTCCATCGTGAAGTCTGTAAGTGTGTCTTCATTCCCAGAGAAATGTGACTGCTGGAGAGAAGTTTTCTAAACCACATTATAATTTCAAATAGGTTGTGGGAGCCAATTCTGAATGTCATTTTTGCATCAGTTCAAATTGTATTATAATAAACTTGAGTTATGAGTGTATAATGAATTGGAAATATTATTACAGTCTTCATGAAGGCAACTGGTAAAACCTCTGAAGGAAGCCCGCTAATGCTTTGCAGTCTAAAAGAAGTTCTCTTCTGCTTTTCCTGCTTTTGCCAGCACTGAAGACCAGTCCTGAGAGTTAGAAGTAATGGTGATGGTCTGATCGTGATTGTGGGACGGTAGTTCCTGGGGTTAGTGGTGGGTTATGCACTTGAATAAGGAGTATGTCCTTGAACTTGCTAGTGCCACATCTGTTCCAAGGTCTACTCCTTCCTGTACATTTAAGAAACAGTTCTACTTAGTTTCAAAAGAGTGGGCTTTAGTGAGCTGATTTAGCCAGCAAGAACCTAGAATACCAATTTATCATCATGGAGAAAACAAGTGTAATAAGAGGACCCGGGTCTCTGTAGAGGGTCTCTTGATGGAAAGTAGGTCCACTCTGAAAACTGCAGTTCATGTTTTTCAACAGGGATGTACTGACAGCCTACTTCATACAAACCATGGCATTAGGTAATGGGGACACAGATGGACAAGGCCAGGGGGTGGCCTTGGGGTCATAGCATGTGTAGTGACACTGATGCTGATGTCATCCTCCATTGTGAGGATGAAGTCGAGGTGCCCTGTCCCTGGAGTGCTCTAGGAAGACACTGACACATGCCCTTGAGCTCACCTTGTTCTAGACCCTGTTTCCCAGCTCTTTTGATTACCAAAGTTCAGTCTCAGCCCTGTTGTCACACCCTAGCAGTTTCAGCAGGAAGCCTTTTGTTGGGGGCATTCTCAGTGGGCTCGTTCCTGATTGCCTCTGGGAAAGGCTTTTGCCTCTGGCTGTCTCATTTGTGATGTGGGAATAAGCCTCCTTTCTGACCTCTGTCATTTTCTTCTGGTTGATTTCAAAACAGATTTTTAGTTCAAGATACTTTAACACATTTTTAAATAAAATAAAATATTCAGATATAATATCGATACACTTGGTAAGATTCTTTCTCCTCTGATTACTGATTCTGAATGTTTTACTTAGCTCATTGGTGCAGCAAGAACCAAAACGTATGTGCAAGAACATTCTGTAGTTGATCCTCTAGAGAAAACAATGGAACTTAAATCTACTAATGTAAGTGGTGGCTTCCTTCTGTTTTAATTTTGAACTGTCTGGTTTAATGTTTGTTTTGTCTCCTAGTTGAGCTGTGAGTGAATGCATGTTCTCAGTGTGGCTTAGAAAATCCCTGCTTTCGTGCTGCATCGACTTTGCCCTGTTTGTAGTTTCCCAAGGCTAATGATCCTACCTGTCTTTATGAGTTAGCACTCAAGGAAATGAATTTGGGATCATGTGTACACCATTATTATATTCTCAATTTGTGGAGTTTTTTTTTTTTTGATGATGTTGTTTTAAATAAAATGTAGGCAGTGAGCCAGCCTAGGCAACATAGCAAGACCTTATCTCTACAAAAATAAAATTAACTGAGCATGGTGGCACATGCCTGCAATCCCAGCTACTCAGGAGGCTGAGATGGAAGAATCACCTGAGCCCTGAAGGTTAGGGCTGCATTGAGCCATGATTATGCCATTGCACTCTAGCCTGGGTAACAAAGTGAGACTGGAAAAAAAATGTAGGCAGCAGATAGTTTTTTATATTTATGCAGTAATAGCAGTGGCTTATTTGTTGGTTTTGTATGTTTAGGAGGAAGATTTTGGTTTGTATGTTGATTTTGGAAATGTTTTGAATCTTTAGCTCCAAAATGATTTGATCCTTTCCCCCCCCCATTCTATAGATTTCATTTACAAATATGGTTTCAGTAGATGAGAGACTTATATACAAACCACATCCTCAGGACCCAGAAAAGTGAGTTAAAAGTGTTTTAATAAAAACTTATTTTATAGAGTGTATAACAATTTTTTTACCAGTTTTTTTTTAATAAAAGTTGGGTTATCTAAAGTGGTTTGAATGTGTTTTGTTCCAGAACTACTTTGACTCAAGAAGCTATAATCACTGTGAAAGGAGTCAGCCTCAGTAGCTACCTTGAAGGACTCATGGCAAGTACAATATCTTCAAATGCCAATAAAGTAAGTAAGGCTGCTTCTTGCTTGTTTGTTACTCCCTGGGTTCATGTCCTGGAGGAGCTTGGTGCTGAGTGGTGTTTGTCCTTGTAAGGTCTCACCCACTCTGCAGTGAAAAGCCACAGAGTAGGAGGCATTTACTTGTGCAGGCTCTGGGGGGTTCACATTTCAAACTCTCTTGCCAGCCTTTTAACCTTGGGCTATTAAGTTAATCTTTTTACGCCTCAGTTTCCCGTCTGTGAAGTGGAGGTTACCCATGCTATAGGGTTGGCATGAAGTGAGATATGGAAAGTGTGCGTGACCTGGACCCCAGCACATAGGAAGGGCTGGGTGATGTGTAACTGTGTCATTAAAAGTTCTGTGTATCAACTTTTTGTCATTACATATCCCCTCCAGTCCATTTTAGACATTTTTTCCCCTAATTGCCATGAAATTACTTAATATCAAATATGTGTTGTATACATAAAAGATTTTTTTTCTATCCCCCCCAACCAATTTTTCCTCATTGAGAATGCATGATTTAAAACAGGATAAGTTTAGAGAAAGAGATTCCTCATACACTGTTTTATAGCACATTTAATATAGTCATTGAGCAAAGATACTCATAGATGCCTTCACTGTGCCAGACAGAGTGCTAGGCTAGACTGAGGGTATAGCAGGGAGCAAGACAAATGTGTTCCCTGACCTTATGGAACTAAGAGGCAGGCAGCATTAATCACACCACATGTCATTAGGATAGGAAAGGTGCCAAAAGGTATGAGGGTGCTTCCTGAGTGTTGAGTACCTGATGTTTCTGGTGAGTGCCGTGTGCATCTAGGTTGGTTGTGAGGGGTATGCAGGAAGAGTATTTTGGGTGGAAGAGCTGCCTGGGCAAAGACCCTGAGGCAGGAGGTGGGAAATGCTCTTTCTATTCCTGAAAGAATGCATAGAACACCATGAGAAAAGGGCTGAGGAGGGAGTTGGGGACCAGATTCTGCTGGGCCTTACACAGGATTTTGGTTTAAAATGTAGACATAAAAAGGAGTTTTAACTTCTCACTCCCAAAAAGGGGACACTGGAATCATGAAATAAATAAGACATCCTATCATTTAATTGTAGATTCTTTTCAGAGTATCTTTTGCATACAAAATAGAAATCAGTTTATGATCGAGCCAGCTGATGTTTGCTAAATAACGTTGGAAAAGAAAAAGCAAGGACAAAACAATCTGTCATCATGAAGTTTAGTTATGCTTGGAACGTTGCTCGTTACTTCCTGGTGTGTCATTTATTTGATACATACCTTTGCTCTCACTGGGTAACAATAAATGTATTGGATTTTTTTAAGGGCCGAGAAGCAATGGAATGGGTAATACATAAATTAAATGCTGAGATTGAAGAATTGACAGCTTCAGCAAGAGGAAGCATAAGGACTCCAATGGCGGCGGCAGCATTTATAGAGAAATGATCATGGAAATTGGTAGACAACCTTGGGTGCCCAGGTCTCTCCAAGTTGGCAATATATTTATTTGTTACTTAAAAAATACAATTCTATTTTAGGTAGAATTTTTTTAAATAAGCTGACATAAGGCTAAGGTACTTGATCAAAACAGATTCAGGGCTTCTAAATAAAAGGGATCATACGAAAATGGTGTTTGAAATGACTGTCATTCGAAGGGTTCCAGTATTTATGTGGAAACTTAATTTTTTGAAAGGTCCTTGGAAATAGGTATTGGCGTTGAATCTCCTTCAGGTAGAATTTTAAAGCTTTTCGTGCACCATAAGTCTACCTGGCTTTGGACCAATCCCAGGACAGCAGCACCACCCCCTAAGACATACATTACATTGCTATACACTCAATAGCTCATAAGGGAACTTACAGGAGAAATTATGTAGTTTTAAAAGGTATTAATTTGTATAAAATAAGTTACTCTGCTATAAAACACCACTAAAAACCACAGTGTTTTGGTTTAGTACGTAAATATTTTTGGAGTGAGAATTATCACTGAAGTAATATATGACTCCAACAAAAATATGGTTTTATTGTATTAAAGAGTACTGTATTAATTTGCCAAAGTTTTGTAACTTAGTAAAGGCATTACCTTCCTTGGATTTGTACTTAGTGATTTAGTATGCTGTATCGTGGGCTGGTTATGTTAACTGAAAAAGTCATTACCTGAGTTTTGCAGCATTCTAAACTTAAACAGAACAGCTGTTCACATCTTTTAGCATTTCACATTTGCCTAACTTATAAATTGCCATGTGTCAAAATCATGGTTTTGTAATTGCTAAGGCATGATATGTCAGGTTATTTGAATATAATTACTTTTTGAAGTAATTGTGACCACAAAACATCTTTTTTTACATGAAGAGCTGTACATCATTTGAAATTACTCAAATGATGTCTTAATCTGAAGCGTAAACCCCAGGTACTTAATGTTTTTAATAATATGGTGCCACTGCAGGGCTGGGAGTGGTGGGGGAGAACAAAGGATAAAGGGGAGAGGAAGGATTGGCTTAAACTAACCAGCAAGTGAATTGCACTGCAGCTTGTATTTACAGGGAATCCTTATTTTGAATGCCAGAAGGCAACTGCAGACTGCAAAACAATCCAATAAATGTTATTTTGTTTTGCATTTTGTAGCAGCACTTATCCACCACTAAATAATAGCTCTGGTATTTGTAGTTGTTGCATACAGAGTATGTTTGTTAAAAGGTGATTAGCTTTTGACTTTATTTTACAATGCTTCATATGATAAACTTCTAGTCAGGTTTCCTTTCAGAGACCAGCTAATATATGTACATAAACCACGGAAATATTATAACAAACTATTTTGAAATTATTGGTTTTCTACTTGAAATAGTTTAGCTTAAGACTTCTCAGAACATTTGTAAAAGCAAGTTAAATCCCATAAGGTTTGATTTTTTTTTTCTTGTAACCAGAAATGGTTTTGCAACTGAAATAACATTTCACCTAAACAAAACATTACTAAATATTGACATTTGATAAGAAGTTGTCTTGGGTAATTTCTGTAAATTATGCCTGTTCTGAAAAAGGTGTAGTGCCCTAATGATAAAATATTTTTAAACAAATCCTTATCCTTCGTTTGATTTTTTAAACTCTGCTCTAATGATTTTCGTTTTCCAAAATAGCTGGTAATTCATAGCTTTTACCTGTGAAAATATAAATCCACAGCAAACAAATGCATTTAAGACTAAACTGGACTAAAGTGTTCACAAATGAAACTTCTGGACTATTGAGCATCTATTTCGTATTTTTAAAAATTAACATATGAACTAAAAACTTGTTAATAAAAACTTTTTTAACTGTGATGTTTTCTTGATTATGATTTCTCTTTAAGAGTAAAAACTTTTTTTTTTTCCTTTTAAGAAACACTAATTGCTAGACTACGCGCGTTGCAGGGCTAGAGTTCGGCTCTAACAGGAGGCCCCAGATGAGAATTTTCACTGTCGACGTGGGGACCTCCTTGTGCCGCCAACCTGCTTGTATTCCCTCTCCATCTCGGCCAGTTTTCTTGCTCTGGGCCTCGCCACATCCCAGCTCACGTCCTGAAACTGCAAAAACTGCCGAGAGTTGGTACACTTGGCGGGGGAGGCTCCACTCTGGCCGCCAGGGTTTGGCTTTCTTCACTTAACTGCGGGAGAACGAGGCTCAATGCTTTTCTAAGTGTCTGCTCTCTGGAAGGACAAAGGCCGGCGCCGCTCTCCTGGAGCGGTGTAGACCCAGGCCCTCGCAGGACAGCGTCCGCGCAGCTTCGCACTCTCGTCCTCCCGACCACATTGCTCCGCGCCCCCACGGGAGCCGGGGTGCCCACTGACCCGCCCGCCTCAGCCCTCTTACCCCGGCCCCCATCCCGCGGCGGCACTACGGAAGCCCGGGGGGGCACACGCCCGGGGCGCTCGCAGAACCAATGGACAGCCGCGGCCGGCCAGCCCGCCCGAGGATTGGCACTCGCGGCCACTGCCGCGTGCACCCATTGGCTCCCGGCGCCGGGGGGCTTCCACGACGGGGCAGCAGGGGCTGCGAGGGAGGGCGGGATGGGGCAGGAAGCGGCGATTGGCAGGTCCGCACGCCCCGCCCCTTCCGCTTATTAGGTCCTCCCTTCCGGCTGCTGAACCGCCCGGCTGAGCCGACATTGAGGGCGTCCTAGCGATTCGACCCGACGCGCTCCGTTCTCGCGACATAATGGTGGCATATTGGCGACAGGCTGGACTCAGGTAGGGCCAGGCCTCCAGAGGGAAGGGCGTCGAGAGCCCGGCCCGCGCGCGTCCGGGTGTCAGAAGGTCACACTGGGCAAGACGGGGGCGGTGGCCCCACGCGCCTCCGGGTGTCAAGAGGTCACGCCCGGCACTGCAGGGGTTCGTGGCCCAGCGCGTGGCCTGGGCCGCGCTACCCACCAGCCGGGCCGGGCCTCGGGCGCCATCGCCAAGATGGCGTCGCTGTGGACAAGCACGCCGGCTGCGCGACGTCTCCCCGGGGCGCGGGGCTCGGGCAACTGCCTTTGGCGTGTGACCCAGGCTTGTGAATCCTGCCTGCCTACCTGCCGGGGGCCACAGAGCACCTGACTCCAGGCCGAGGAGCACGTGACACCCTTGGAAACTCGAGACACTCCTCAAAAAAGGACAATTCTTAACGAAGGAGGCCTTTTCCTTTTAGAGGAATACTTGAATTATACCGTAGACGTGTCATAGTTACATGAAACTTGGGAATAGAAGGGCGCGGAGATCTCTCCTTAATATAACCATTGTTGGCACTTGGCCTTTGCGGCATCCGGGTGAAGCTTTTTATAGTTTATCTACATGCATTTTTGTTTTTAAGTTCGCTCCTGTTGATCTCAGGTTTCCTTATGGGTAAAAAGTGAGTGATGGCTCTTGAGTTCAAATATGAAACTCACTAAGGACATGGGGTGGAGTGTAGTGGCAAACGGTTGGTCTGGGTGTGACATCCGATTTTTTTTTTAACCTGCGTACCAGATTGAGCAAAAGTATCTTCCTCCAGGTAGCACACCTTGTTAGTTGACTAGGTGGAGTAACACCTTCCAGTAGTAAAATTTTGTCAGTACTTACGACTACCCAGCAACTGAGTTTCCTGGCTTGAGACGAAGCAAAGTTTTGTAGAATTGAAAGGATGATAGTTCGCGTCACACACACTAAACTTCCTACTCTGTGGTCTATGCTTTTTCACCCATTGTCTTTCCTTCTTCCAGCCACCAGAAGAGCCGGTATTTTTATCCTTTTATTGTATTGTTTTTTAACAGGTGAATTAGCAAGCTGAAAAGGCTAAACAGCCAAAGGTCACCCAGCTAGTAAGAGTGGAAACAGGCATTGGAACTCTTACTCTGGTGCCCACAAATAAATTCTAAAACTTGAGAAAGATAGACAGCACTCCCTCCCCTCTTCCTGTTTCATAAGTGTGAAAAGTGATCTGACATCTTGGAAAGATGTTGATGGGAGTCCATCTACCAAACAGGAAGCAGGTTTTTAGAATTTTTCAAGAATCAATAATACTCTCTAAAGACTTTTCAGTTTAATTTAGAAATCTTAATTAGGAGAAGTTTTCGATGGCAGACTTGTGAAACAGAATTCAATATTCTCAGGAAAGCCTTTAAATAATTTATCAGGGAAATAATTTTTTAATTTGGTCTTTTTTTCTGTATTGTGGGGGTTTTTTTAATTTATGCATCTTTTATTTTAAATGAGTATACACTGAAGAGGAAACACAGTACAAAGAAGAAAAATTAAAAATCACCCATCCAAACACTGAGTAATACTTTATTACATTTATTTCAAGTGGTTTTTTTCTTTGTATAGATTCCTTTTGCCATTAGTCATTTTTAAATTCAGTTCTATGGTAATGTAAAACCAGACCAAAACTACAATTATAGGAAGAAAAACAAAAGCTCAGTAATATAACCGTCTGGCCATGGAATATTGGTAATTAACTCTATAGCTTTTCTCATTTTCTTCCAGCTACATCCGATACTCCCAGATATGTGCAAAAGCAGTGAGAGATGCACTGAAGACAGAATTCAAAGCAAATGCCGAGAAGACTTCTGGCAGCAGCGTAAAAATTGTGAAAGTAAAAAAGGAATAATCTGTAAGTTAATGATTTACTTAGAAGAACAGTTTTATCTTAAATTTTTAGAGCACTATAAAGATCAAAGTAATTTTAGTTTTGGCTTCTATCCATTTTTTAATCAATCAGTGCATGTAGAAATTAGTAATTGGGATAATAATTTAAAACATATAGGTTATAGAAGTACCGTGGCATAATAAAAGAATATCCTTTCGGGCTCTGACAAGCAAAAGTAATTGGCACGTTGATTTTCAGTTCATTTAGCAATCCTTAGGTAGAGCTCTGTCTTACTTTAATTAAACCTGTTTCATTTGTCTGCATAAAATCAAATAATTGGGAGGATAAACTCCCCACTTTTGTAATTGCTGTTGGCATTACATAACAGTTCAGGAACATGAAAAATTACTGTTCTTTACGTTTTTATTTCCCCCACATCTGCTAATGTTCTCACAAATCACTGCTTCCTAAACATAAGGGCTGCAGGAACAGCCAGGGGTCCTGCTATTTTATCAAGCAATAAAATCTGCAAGACCTGCCGTGAATACTGTTTTGCTGCTAAACTTATGCTTTCAGAGCGTTAGGTTCATGTTACTTCTCCAGAGGTGCTGGTGATATAAAGTTACCGTCTCACGAAGTAAAAAGATGGTTTTGTGCAGGTGATAAGCTCAAGCTTTTGTGCTCCATACTGCAAAAGTGATTTGACCTCCAAACCACTTTCTTCACGTAATTTCAAAGATGAGCAAGGAAAATAGTCAGATGTTTTTCAGATTTAATTTTCTTGTTCTGCTTTGAAAAAGCTTCAGACCCGCAGAAACGTGATAAATATTAATCCTTTGGCAGCTTGTGGTTATGAGCACTTTTACTTATTGGAACTGTCTCCCCTAAGCACTTTTCATTTTCATTTTGAATTAGTAAATATTTTATTACAAGTCTGGAGATGTAGTGTTTTGAATTTAGCCCGTTTTCTAGGGGCTCTCTGTCTAATCTCATAATTCTGAGTAATGAGACCCGGTTTTATGTTGGGTTGTTTTGTTTTAACAGTGAGCTGAGAAAATCACTCAGCCTCTCTGCAGCAGAGCTGGTCCTGATTCTGCACCTAACTCCGTGACTTTGCCATGTCCTTTGGGTTAGGAAGTAGTGTCGGCTCCAGGAAACAAAACATGAGCCTCTCTGTTAGGTCCTCCAGGGATGGGGTCCCCACCTTATTAGCAGAGGGAGATTTTAGTGTCTTTTAAAGGCACAGCAGTTTATTTATTACTATGAGAGTGTTTAGTTTTACATAGCGAAGCTCCTGCTCAGCCAAGGCCGTGCACTTGAACTAGCATTTTGTATGACAGCTTTCATGCTGCTCGTGTGAATCGAAGCCACGGTTCTCTTTTACAGTTCACGAACAAGAAGTTATTTCTCATATTCATGTTGGATTTTTAAGAAGACACGGAGAATTAGTTAGCAACTGTTGCATTTTCTCTTTTCCTCCTAGACCCTGACTAAAGCTTAAAATGCTACATTTTCAAGGTGAAGATGTGTGGGCACATGTTATGGCAGATTGAAAACGATCTCACTTCATGAAAAAAAATGCCTGTCTTGTTCGTAAATTGACATTGCCAATAAATTGAAGTATGGTTCACTCTTACTGCTGGTTTTTAGTTTCCATTGGACTTTGTAGGAACTGTCTGCACTACCGTGTGATTTTGACCATATGAAGCAGGATTTCTTGTGGGGAGCAGATTTAGTATTTAGTGACCAAAGGGATATAGAAAACACCTTGAAAATGTCTCAGAGTAGAAAGTTGTTTTACATGACATTAATTGGTGGTCAAAATGAGACGCTGTTGGTGAGGCTTTGTCTCCTTTATCTTTGAACTGCAGTTATGTTGGAGGAGTGGGTTGGTTGTTACCCACCGGCCTCAGCCTTTTGTTTTAGGCACCAGTGTCTCCAGGAAGTGCTGCTTAAGAGCATAGATTAGGGGAGGAGCATATACTAAAGCGCAATACTCATTTTTTATTGTGCACTTAAAACCTGTAGAGAACAGGTATTTATGTTCAAATTTAAGCACAAAATGCGTTTCACATTATTTTGTAAGTGATTCTTTATATTCTGGTAGCATTTCTCGTAGGAAACAAGACAAAGCTGTTCAGCAACTTGCTTATTGAGTTGATGGCCAAACTGAAATTAAAATCTAAGCTTCTTGACTACAGGTCTGGGCTGCAGTGATGACAACAGCAGTTCTGTGGTTTGTTCGTTCATTAAATATTTAGGGATGAATTGTTGCAAGTTTTTCTTTTTATCTTTCTTTGGAACTTGGGAGACTTGGCCAAGGTAAAACACCTTTGTAAAGTTAACTGCTTGATTTTATCTGTTTTAGAAGAGTGGAGGAATAAATTTGGGCAGGAAATTTTGAAACACTACCGTGTTACCAGTTTCACCGTGCGTGGCACTTAAGCTTACAATCATCCATCGGGACCATGCTCAGCAGTGCCAAGGACAAGCCCGAGAAGATGTCTTTGTTCTCAGCTTCTGGGGATGACTCACTGCCCTGACACTTGACCTTTAGGTTTTATTGAGTCCTCAGTGCAGACCACACAAGGAGAAGCAGCAGACTGAATGGGAGAGCAGGACTGCTTGGTGGCAGCAGGATAGGACCCCCAAGTTTTTCACTTGGGGCAACTGTTCTGCTGTTTGGTGGTTAGGGCACCTCAGTTCAGTGCTCCAGTCCCCAAGATTATGGTACTGGGAGGTGTCTTCATTACAGGGGACAGGAATGAATGAATCACAAGGCTGAGAAGCCTTTTTGGTAGCAAAGTAGCTAATAAGCAAAAGGCTAAATTCTTTCCAACCAAGCAATTAGAGATGTATTAGGGAGGTAGGTGGGACCATTAGAGGTAAGACTTAGGGGCAGGGTTTGTGATGTAGAAAGGATTAAAGTGAATAAAGAACAAATTTGCTGTCCAACAAAGATTCTTCAGGGCTCTGTGATTTTAAAAAAATCCCAAGCCAATACTGTGATGAGAGCAACAGTGCCCAGTACCGAGGAGACCACCCCCTGTTAGACTAACTTGTGAGTGTTTAACTAGTTGGGTTATATTCGAGGGACTCAGGTCATCTCTTCATTCATGTAGTTCTTGTGTGTGAAGTGAAGGAGTCGGACAAGCTCGAAAATGCTATGCTACAGCTGTCTCAGTCTCCCAGTGACCAATGTCACCGTAGCAACCATACTGCTAAAGGAATAAACTCTTCAAAATCAGAAGGGACAGCTTTCTCTTGGTTTCTAGTTTGTTGTTTTTTTAATCTCTTTCTACCATATGAAAGAGTAGGATGGTGAGATGCATTTTGAAATATTTTTAACTACTCAAATTAATCAGTCTAGTAGCTAGGCTCCAAGAAAAGGAATTTAGTCTGAAATAAAGCAATTGAGCCATTTAAAATCGAGCTTTTTGTACTTTAATGATCACTATTGAGCAAACAAACATCTTTACAATAATATAAATTGGCAGAAGTTTTTTAAAGATTTTAATCTATACCTCTCCTTGCATTTATTTCATTGCCTTTTTAGGTTTGAGAAGAAGCATGTGTATAACTCTTTTATAAACCACTGGCTGTAAGTCTTTAGCATTTCAGGAAGTTGTTAACTTAAAACTGAGTGGATAAGTACAGTTTCTTACTAAATCTAGTACTTGAACCACAAGCAGAAAGTGTTTAAAGTTATTGCTGTGCTTTTTTTTTTTAATTCTGTCAGTAGAGGGCTGTCAGTGATGCCACTGGCAAAGCCTCGTTTCCTCTTGGTATGCATTTTCGTTATTTCCTCTGATGCACTCGTGAAAAGGGTGAAGTTCCTCAGAGTGAGCAGCTGTCAACCATCCACCTACTACTTCATTATTGCTGATTGCAAAAGCAAATCGGGAGACAAGAACCTAGTTGCCTACAAGTATTCCTTCCTGCAGTGAGGGTCAGAGCATCTCCCCATGGTAGGTTATCCATGGACCGAATAGTGTAGCTCAGGAGTGATTCTAGAGGGTTGTTCAAGCCCTTGTGGTGCTGGAAGGGAAGGCAGCACTGCGTGTCAGAAATAGGTAAGCTGTAATTGAGAGGTTATGGATGATTTGATTATGCTCCTGTGTATCTGGTCCTGTTGTAATAGGAGCAGATTAAAATCATGTAATGGTTAAAGCTATGTCATCATGCAAACATTTATGGCAACTTCTGCAAATTAATTTGAACTGTAAAAGTTCCCTAATGAGATGATGTCCTCCGTAACGAAGAAGGACACTGCAGCCACCGCTGCTTAATTCCTCCATTTGAATGGCTGCCGAGCGTGCCATGCCCTTTCTCAAAGAGCGAGGAAGCTGCAGAGCATTCTTTGGGTGATTAGTGAATGGAAGTGAAAAGGGCATTTCAAAATGGCCTTTAGAAGGAAAGCCAAAGATGATCTGGAATCTAACACTAGTAAGAAACTTGAGATGTATAAATATATACGTTAAAGGCTAGCTCTTCAGAAATAAAGACCAGAGGGCTGGCGTTCCTGCATTTTGCTTGTCCTCTTTGTTTTTCATTTTTTTTGGAGAGGGCTGTGGCTTTTCTTGTTTTCCCCTTTTCCAGTGAGTGTATGGAGGTGAGCACAAGGTCAAAACAACTGACCAGTGCTTGTCAACTGCACTGGGGCTCTGTCATTTCCCTTGTACTAGTGAGTGCCTGTGCTTTTTTGGAGGCCAACAATGACAAGAAGGCAGAGTGCAGAGCAGTATTTGCTAACAAAAGGGAACCTAAGATAAGAGTCTTAGCAACCCCAGGATGCCAAGTTAGGATTCCAGGGTACTTTTCAGAGTTGCTCGAGCTTAAACACAAGAGTCCACTCAAATCCACACATGTAGTCCAGATGCTGACACAGGGCTGTGCACACAGCAGATACCCAATAAACACTCTGAAACAAAGGGACCACTTTATGGTTAATTCACTTTGCTATTAAAAAAGAAACAGCTAATGAGCGTGCATTGAACATTCGACTCTTAAGGTTAGTAAATGTCATGAAGACCCAGTGCCTGGCAGCGTCTCCCCGCCCCCTCCCGTAGTCCCCATGTCAAAGCTATGATGAGTGCGTGGTATTCACTGTGCTGTAGTGCAAAACAGGCCTGGATGTGCGAGAGAGACATGGAACTCATGAGCAACCACTCTGTGAGTGACACCCAGCATGGCTTGTCTCACAGTTAATATCCCTTATCTTCTGGCTCCATCTCCACCTCCTCCATGACCTCTTCGTTTTCCTCCAGCCCTGCTTTGGCATCTTGAAACTGTTGGTACTCAGACACCAAGTCATGGATGTTACTTTCAGCCTCACCAAACTCATTTATGTCCATCCCTTCACTGGTGTACCAGTGCACAAAAGCTTTCCTCTTAAACATGGCTGAGAAGTGCTCAGAGACCCTGTTGAAGATCTCCTGGATGGCCGTGTTGTTGCCTATGAAGGTGGCAGCCATGCTAAGGCCCCTGGGTGGTATGTCGCACACGGCCACCTTGACGTTGTTGGGAATCCACTCCACAAAACAACTGCTGTTCCTGGTCTGCACAGACAGGAGCTGCTGGTCCACTTCCTTAGTGGACATCTTGCCCCGGAAGATGCAGGCCACTGTCAGGTAGCGGCCACGGCGGGGGTCGCAGGCAGCCATGGTATTGCGGGCATCAAACATTTGCTGGGTGAGCTCGGCCACCGAGAGGGCCCGGTACTGCTGGCTGCCATGGGCTGTGAGTGGGGCAAAGCCAGGCATGAAGAAGTGCAGGCGGGGGAAGGGAACCATGTTCACTGCCAGTTTGCGCAGGTCAGCATTGAGCTGACCTGGGAACCGGAGGGAGGTGGTTATGCCGCTCATGGTCAAGGACACCAGATGGTTGAGGTCCCCATAGGTGGGCGTGGTCAGCTTCAGGGTGCGGAAGCAGATGTCATAGAGGGCCTCATTGTCAATGCAGAAGCAGGCGTCTGCATTCTCGATCAGCTGGTGGATGGACAGCACAGCATTGTAGGGCTCCACCACCGTGTCCGACACCTTGGGGGACGGCATGACGCTGAAGGAGTTCATGATCCGGTCAGGGTACTCCTCCCGGATCTTGTTCATGAGCAGTGTGCCCATACCAGAGCCTGTGCCCCCACCCAAGGAGTGCACGACCTGGAAGCCCTGCAGGCAGTCACAGCTCTCACTCTCGTGCCGCACCACCTCTAGCACATTTTCGATCAACTCAGCGCCCTCGGTGTAGTGACCCTTGGCCCAGTTGTTGCCAGCCCCGGAGTTACCTGGGGTGAGAAGGAGTGAGCAGGGGAGAACAGGGGAAGAGAAAAGGCACCACTAGGAGGCATCCCTATCCGGGGAACCTCTTGGAAGGACCTACCGTGGACAAAACTGTCTGGTTGAAAGAGGCCTCCTAATCTGCTCGATCGAATACTGTCCATCGTCCCAGGTTCCAGGTCCACCAGGACCGCTCGGGGCACGTATTTCTTACCTGTGTAGAAAAATAGGAAGAAGTCAGCAAACTGTTGTTTTTCTGAAAGTTAATGTTTCATCAGAATAAACCCTTGTCACACTAGCAAAAAAAAAAAATTATTCAAGGAAGGGATTTTTGATAGCTAGAGATTTGAATACCTTCCACCATATTTTGACCCCATCAGCAATCTCATAACTGTATAAGATAACTAGAAAACACTTTTTTCATCATTGTCTGCTTTATTGTATTGCCAGTGATAGAGATTTATTTCTATTAGAAATGGTTCTGATTTTCATTTAAAAACAAGGGCCAGACACAGTAGCTCACGCTTGTAATCCCAGTACTTTGGGAGGCCGAGGTAAGTGGATTGCTTGGGCCCAGGAGTTTGACACCAGCCTGGGCAACATGGTGAGACCTCATCTCTACAGAAAATGAAAACATTGACTGGGCGTGGTGGCCTGCACCTGTAGTTCTAGCTACTCTGGAGGCTAAGGAGGAAGGATTGCCTGAGCCCAGGAGGTGGAGGCTGAGATAAGCCGTGATTGTGCCACTGCACTCCAACTGGGCCACAGAGCGAGACCCCGACTCAAAAAAAAATACAGAAGAAACAAAAGAGGAGGGTAAGTGCTTAGCCTGTGTGTTTTAAGCTGTGTGCTCTGTGCAGCAGCTTCTTCCCTAGCCCTGCCTCTTGCCCAGGGCTTGGGGACCCGCCACTCTCAGGTCTGTGCCATGCTGCCTGCCACCTGCCCCAGCCCACATGTCACTCATCTGACATTTCTGTCTCGTGGGCCTTGGCGCCTTCTTGCCCGTGTCCCTGGCTGTAGGACCACGGCTTGCAGAAACTCAGCCAGCCCTACCGTAGGCCTCGTTGTAGTACACGCTAATTCTCTCCAGCTGTAGGGCCGAAGCCCCGCGGTCGCTCCCAGCTGAGTCGATCCCGTGCTCCTCACCGATCACCTCCCAGAACTGAAAGCAGAAGGAGTTTGGGGAGGAAGGACCCTGGACAAGGCCGTGTTAGCACCAGAGAAAGGCAGTGCTCCCAGGTTCATTCCCCTAGGGTTGCCTGTCCCTCCCCGACACATCCTTGTGATCTTTCCGTAAATGACCACTCCATGGCACAATTCACTTTTGCCTCTAGTAAGCAGCGTGAAGTAGCAGGGAGACTGCATTTTATACCCTCCTGAGCTCCTTGAATAAAATGTCAAACACAAAGTATTAAACTGGACTTTGGATCTATTAAATTCAAGCCGCTGTATACATTAAAGCTGTTTAGAATTTCATATCAGAGGAATGGAGGGAGGAGAGTGGGGCATGTGATAACACAAGGGGAAGCTGGTCCACTACCAGGGGAGTGAGGACCAGTTAGATGCCCAAACTTCTGCATGCAGCCTATTTATGCAGGTAATCCTCACTTGTACCCTACATCCCTACAAGACAAAGTTTTAAAAAGAATTTCACATCAGACAATGTGTTTCTAATTTTGCTTTTAAGTGCTCCAAGCCAGTAAAGTGTAGATTTCATTACATGAAAACAAAACTGAATTGTTACCTGATTTCACTATATATCTCATTTCACTTTGGGTATTTCTTTTCATCAAGTTTTTCAAAAAACCCATAACTTCCACTTCTGCAGGATATTAAGCAATGTGCATTTTTGATGATCAGGTATACACACAATGCCAAATCCACATAGCTGTTTTCTTGCAACTATTTGAAACATACTGCCTTTCTGATCACAAATGAGGGGAGGACCCAAAAAGAATCTAGAATCTATTTATAAAAAATTGTGTATTCTTACATGTTTAAACATCAGTCAACTTCAAAGCACTCTCCATGTGATACCATACACCTATCAAGACTCTTTTTCCATTGCTCAAAACAGTTTTTGAACTTGGTGATTCTGATTCCTTTTAGTGCTTCTGACAATTTTGATTTCACCTTTTCCACATCAGCAAAACATTTCCCTCTGAGGACTTTTTTTAATCCAGGAAAACAAACCAAAAAAAAGTTGCTCGGGTGAGATTGGGTGAATAGGGAGGGTGGGGATGGAGGTCATACCATTGTGGGCAGGTGCACTCGTAAATCACCCATCCTGAAATGGGCAAACACACTGAAAGAATCTTCAAAAACAATTCACTGAAGTTGAACGCAGCCTCTCACAGCAACACTAGCTGGTACACTGATGCCGATGGGTTCCTGGAACATTACCTAGCAAGGGAAGCCTGTGCTACAAGGGGCCTGCTCTCCAAAAGATAATTCCCTTTTTGGGGGGGGTCCCTCTTATATGCAGTATTTCTTAATATAGATATATGTCTAGCTCTTAACACAGAAAGTTACTCCGATGGCTCCTTTTGATCGCCCTGGAAAAGCACATATTAAATATGGAAATATATTCACTTATGTTAAAATCCCCAAGGGTGTTTTCCCAGTCATATCTTATAGATGACAATTCTGTTCTGGCCATGGTCTTAATAATAGGGCTCTATTTCGTAATAAACTACCAGCACTGTTCAGGGAGTAGAAGAATAAATACATTTAATTTCTAAGATACTCCAAATTAAATGTGTCTTAAAGATATTATGGCCCCAAATAAGTCATCACTGGGGCTCTAACCACCAGACAATAGGATTCTGGAGTGAGAGCTAAGACACTATCTAGAGGCTGCACTCCCTCTCTCCACATTATCTTCCAACCTCAGAGCAACAGGGCTCCTGCCTCCTACTCCTCTGTCAGTTCTGAATGTCTTATCACTGCAGCATGAAAGAATGGCAACTCCTTTTCAAGTAATAATATTTTCGTCCCAGGTTTAAAACACCTGTATTTTAAAACCTTAGTTTTTTTGGCCATACAGTGGCTCACACCTGTAATTCTAGCACTTTAGGGAGTCTGAGGCAGAAGAATCGCTTAAACCCAGGGGTTCAAGACCAGACTGGGCTACATAGCAAGTTCTCATCTTGAAAAAAAAAAAAAAAATTAACTGGGTGTGGTGGTGCACACCTGTAGTCTCAACAACTCAGGAGGCTGAGGTGAGAGGATTGCCTGAGCCTTGGAGATTGAAGCTGTGGTGAGCCGTGATCGCACCACTGCACTCCAGCCTGGGCAACAGAGTGAGACACTGTCTCAAAAAATAAATAAAACCTTAGTTTAGTCATGGCAACATTGACATAGCATAACACCCAAAAGGGAAACAACCCCAAGAGTTTTCGATGGATGGATGAAGGTAGGTGTTTTAAAGGCTTACTTTTAATGCAATTTATACTAGTAAAAGTAATTTCAGAATAGCAAAGAGAGCAAGTTAGATAGACTTTACACAGTACAACTGGTCAGGCAGGGTGTGGTGGCTCATGCCTATAATCCCAGCACTTTGGGAGGCAGATGTGAGAGGATTGCCTGAGTCCATGGGTTCGAGATCAACCTGGGCAACATGGCATGCCCTCATCTCTACAATAAATCAAAAAATTAGCAGGTCATGGTGGTCCCCACCTGTAGTTCCAGCTACTTGGAAGGCTGAGGCAGAAGGACTGCCTGAGCCCAGCAGGTCAAGGCTGTGGTGGCTGTGAGCACATCACTGCACTGCACTCGCCTGGATGACAGAGTGAGACTCTAACTCCAAAAAAAAAAAAACCACAAAAACGCATCTTAAAATCAGAATTGGGCAGTGTAGGTTTGGGCACCTGTTTTCTTGATGCTAGCTCATTGAATCAGGTACCTTGTAGAAAAATTTAAACAGAGAGGCAGCAGAGAGAAAAACTCATTTATATTCCAGAGGGATGTATTTAATTATTTCTGCTACTGTACACAAAAACTTTAAGCCATGGCAACCTCTTCGGGTCCCCTCCCACTGTGGGAGCTTCTTTGTCCTCTCAATAAATCCTGGTCTCTCAAAAAAAAAAAAAAAAGCCTACCTCTTAAATATTCTGTTGCATATAATAAAACAGAAATTGGTTTTTTTAGGAAGGAAAAGACACCTTAGTGATAGGATGTAAAATATTCTCCAATAAACTTCAGAAAACTGTTTTGCAACAAATTATTGCTTTTAGATATGAAAAGTTCATTGCTGAGATGATAAAAAGTAAAATGGTTGATGTTTACTAGGCACATGTAACTATGAACAAAATTCACATTAGTTAAATTAACCCTCTAAGCTTTTGATGTGTCCTGTAACTCTTTAGACATTGTCTAGCCAGGGGCAGTGGCTCACGCACATTGGGAGGTAGAGGCAAGAGCTTGAGCTTAGGAGTTTGAGTCCAGCCTAGGCAACTTGGCAAGAACCCATCTCTACAATAAATAAAAAAATTAGCCATGTGTGGTGGTACAAGCTTGTAGTTCCAGCTACTTGGAAGGCTGAGGCAGGAGGATCGCCCGAGCTCAGGAGGTTGAGGCTTTGGTGAACTGTGATCGTGCCACTGCACACCAACCTGGGTGACGGAGTGAGAACTCCAACAACAACAACAACAAAAAACCCTTGTCTAATAAATCAAATATTTAACAAGTACATGAAATCTACTAGACTCACTGTTTTCCCTGGTAATGTAGGGAATTTTCTTGGTTGGCCACATCTAAGGACTGGCACAGCTGGTCCCAGTAACCAGACTCTCCTTACCTTGGCTCCAATCTGGTTGCCACACTGGCCAATCTGAATGTGCACGATTTCACGCATCCTTGCCTTGATCCCAAGTGTGAGATCTTCACAGAATCCTCAGACCCTGGGAGAGCCTCGTTTCACTGGTGTGAGCCCAACACAACTGTGGTCAGTGCAGTGGCAGGACCAGTTGACCAAGCCACCCTCAGAGTGTCGTCACTTAAGGGTGTGTCCAGCCCAGAGGCCGGGTCCCCCGCCCTCAGCCAGCCCTGGGCCCTTTCTGCATTTTGCCTATCATGCTTTCGGAAGTGTTTTTCTCTCCCAACACAGAATATTGCCTGGTCATTTCCTAGAGGGCAAGGGCAAGACTAAAGACAAAAGGTGGCCTCTGTATATGGGGCCTGCCGGGCTAGCCTTGGGTACTGGTGCTGACTCTGATGCCTGGGTTGTGATATCAGACTGCAGCTCCCAGCTCATCTAGGTGGCCAGAACACCCACAAGAGCTTTTCCCATTCAAGTAATCACTTTGTCTGACCCCATCACTTGGCCTAAAATAAAGTTTCCTTTTTGAAGTTGTGAAGGAGGTGAGTACAGTGGCTCATGCCTGTAATCCCAGCACTTTGGAAGACGAAAGTGGTAGAATTTCTAGAGCCCAGGAGTTTGAGACCAGCCTGGGTAACAGTGAGACCTCGTCTCTACCAAAAAGAAAATATCTGGGTACGGTGGTGCATGCCTACAGTTCCAGCTACTCGGGAGGCTGAGGCGAAAGGATCACCTGAACTTACGGGGTTTAGGCTGCTGAGTCATGATGGTACCACTGCAGCACTCCAACCTGGGCAACAGAGTGAGACTCCAACTCAAACACACACACACACACACACACACACACACACACACACACACACACACACAATTGTGAAGGCAACATGTGATTCTTAGGAGTTTAGGAAACCACAACCAAAAGAGAAGGCCAAAGTCCATGGCTCAACATCCAGGCTTTCCCAACCTGGCCCAAACTACATTCCCAGCCCCTTTTTCCAGACTTTGGTCCCTTCAGCCCCATGGCATCAGTCACCACAGCTGCTACCCTCCCCAACATGCCCTTTCCTACCTTGTCTGCAGGTTGCTCCATGGCTGTCCACAGGCTTCTTGGGTTTCTTCCCTGTCCCTGCCAGGGCCTGGCTGTGACTTGGCAGCCTTCCCAGCTCTTGCTCTGTCGTCCAACTGTCCCTATTGTGGTGTCAGGGGATTTATTGTTTGTCGCAAGTTCCCTTTCCCAGACCCTGCATTCTCCAAGAGGCAAATGGACTCCCAACCACAGTCCTTCACACCAGGACAGGGGTTGTGGCAGGACAGGTGCTCAGCAGCTTAAAACTGGCCCATCTGCCTCCTGGTCCTCAGCACAGCCCCCTAGCTTCCCTCAAACAGCGTCTAAAACCAGTCCCAAGCCTCTTCACCTCTGACCAAGCAAGCCCACCCTGCCCAGCAGTACAAGGCAGGGCAGCCAGGTCATAAACCAGTGCCTGTTACCCAAGCCTGGAGGAGCTGAAGGAAGGAGATGGACCCCTGGGAAGGAGCCAGTGTCTAGCTTGGCAGCAGGAATAGCTCGTCAGAGCTGCCTGGGGTGCAGGTGGTCAGGTACAGGGTGAGATCTCACTCCTGAAGCCCCAGGATGTGGGCAGCCCCACTCCACAAGCACCTGTTTCTCAAGGCCCCTACTCAGTGCCTGCCAGGCACCCTGAGGCCACCCCATTTCTTGAACAGTTATGAATAGGGACCTATCCCATGCTGGACTGGCGTTGGCACTGGGGACACAGGAATGAAGGAGATGCCATGCAGATGCTGTGTTCTCTCTTGAGCTGACCTCTTTGGGAAGAGTCCTCCAGCTCTAGAACCATTCAAGGACACTATCCCACTGCACAGGGACCCAAAGGTAGGACTGAATCGAACTCAGAGCCAGAGTCTTTGAGGACCCCTCCTTTGCCCCTCACTGGGCCAGTGGCCTTGGCCGAGGCATTGGAGCTGAATCCTTGGGCTCTGGCCCCCCACTGGTCTAGGAGGGTCCGTGCTTTCTGTGCCCTGAGCCCAGTCCTGACTCTAAAACCCTCTCCCTTTCTACGGGCATGACAAGGTCCAAGATGTGAAGTCAGGAACACGAGCAGAAAAGCTCTGAACGGTGGACCGCCTGGGGGAAATAGCCCCCACTCACTCCCAGAGGAGGTCAGACATGAAGTAAGAGGGCCTGTGCTACAAACCAGGAGAGGAACCCAGAGATGAGGAGGAAGAACTTTGTCCCATGAGTGCCAAGATCCCATCAGGAGCGCAGTTCCCAGCCTGACCTCAGTGCTCACTGAGTGCACCCTCTGATCCTGGGTGGGGTCTAGGACCAGGGAAAGGGGTTGCTATAAAGGATGTGAGTGGACCCATTGTCAAAATTCAAATAAGGACCATGCTATTGGTAACTGATAGTGTAACTGTGATCTACTTTCTGGCTTCGATCATAGCTCACAGTGATTCTTAGTGGAAGTCCTTGTTTTCAGGAGATACCATCTTATGGAGTGCCGTGCTTCAGGGTCAAGTTGTTATGATGACGGCAACATACTCTTAGACGATTCAACAACCACAATAATGTGATAAATGCAGAGAGAGCAGTTAAGCAAAGTGGCAAAATGTGAACAGTCGGTAGCTCTTTTCAAAACTGGCACATGATTAGTACTCTTGTGACGGTTCTCTAAGTTTGACTTTTTTTCCTGCTTAAATCTGAATGGTACACGAATCACTGAAGCTTCTGGTCCCACCACCTCTCCTTCCTGCCCAGAGGTAAAAAGAAGGATGTGTATGTCCAAGAGGAAGATGTTCACAGGTGCTCAGCAGTATTTTCACAAATTAAAAATGTACACAGGCCGGGCATAGGGGTTCATGCCTATAATCCTAGCACTGTGGGAAGCCAAGGTGGGAGGATCACTTGAGCCTAGGAGTTCAAGATCAGCCTGGGCAACATAGCAAGTTCTCGTCTCTACAAAGAATAAAAAAATTAACCAGACGTGGTGGTGGCATATGCCTATAGTCCCAGCTACTTGGGAGGCTGTGACAGAAGGATCGCCTGAGCCCAGAAGGTTGAGCCATGATTGTACCACTGCACTCCAGCCTGGATGACAGAGTGAGGCCCTGACTCAAAAGTAAATAAATAAAGTAAAATAAAATAAGCACACAGAATGGACCATTCCATTGCCATAGACTTTAGTCATGCTACCCTTGCTTCCAGTCTCTCTCCCAGCTTGCCTTGGCCTCTTTTCCCTGCATCCCTCCACTGTGCCTCAGCCTCCCCAGCTTATCAGACCCCTTCAAAGTTCAAAGGCAGCTCCATGATCTTCCCACTGGCAGTCCCCTTACCAGAGATGCCTCCCTTTCTCGGGGCCAGAGCAATTAAACCCACAGTTATCGCCTGCGGTCCTGTTTGCTAATTACTTATACACATGCCTTATCTCCCCGCAGCCTGGGAGCCACCAATGTCTCTTCACCATTGAGTCCCCAAAGGGCCTGATCCGCAACAGGCCTCAGCAAATGTTTGTTGAGGGCACACCAACAGCTGGGCGAGTTTGAGCAGTGGTGCTCAGCGGGGCCAGTTTTCCTAGAGCCAATAATGTATTTATTCACGAGTGTGCCCTTCTCATGGTGGGTGGGGACATCGTGCCCACAGGCCCTTTCCTCCATTCCCTAAGAGGTGGTCTAGGCTGAAATATAAATTGTTGCAAGAAGCCTGGACGTCAGGGATGGTCTGTAGATGGAATAACCACAGCAAGCTATTACGGGAATCCTCAGTGGCCAAGCTCCTGAAAGGGGCCCCTGTTGGCCACAAACACCTCCCTTCAGGGACCACTGGGCTGGGCCCGGGGCTGTTTTGATCTGCCTGTGTTCATTCTTTGCTGTATGAGCAGGATCCAGTGTGTCAGAGTCCCCCCAACCTCCGCCCCAAGCGCATTCCTCTTGGTCATCTCAGTTTGCTTAGGGAGGGGAGAGAGCCGGGTTTCCAGATGGGCGCTTAAAAGGCTTTTCTGTTAATGGGGCAGTTGGCAAAAAGGGAGAAAAAGAGAGAAGCCCTGTTTGCTTTGATTCCTGTATCACTGGCAGTGTTTATTCATCCCGCGGGTGCTACTCTCTGGGTGCTGCTAGGCTGCAAGTGGGCATGGGGTGAGGGCCGATCCAGAGTGGGGAAGCCTCTCCCACTGAGAGGGCCCATATCTTCCCTGAACCCAAATGTTTTCATGTGTAAAATGGAATCATGTTCCCCATTTCCCAAGTCTATGGTGAGGCCTGAACCCATGGCGGCTGACCCCTAAGATGTCGCTGCAGGTTTTGTTTTTCAAGTGGGCTTCCTGGGGTAGAAGGAGATGTGACTTTCTGTGCTCACAGACACATTCCATTCACCCCTATAGATGACACACCTACCGTGTGTCAGGCTCACAGAGTTGCTGGCACCGTCTGGGCAGAACTGAGAGGTAGAAAATGCAAAAGGTCTGAAAAGCCACCTGTTCTGCCTCCTCCCTTTTGTCCTTATTTATGAAAGTACCTGTATCCCCAAGAAAGAGCTTTCCTCTGGTTGCCTAGTTTGCCCCAGCCAGTGATGTGGTGAACATGTAATGCCTTGCCCTCTGACCTGTGGACGTGGCTCCTTTCCAGGACACAGGTGAACAGTGTCCCTGGAGAGGCTGGCACTGGCCCAAAGTCTGTCCTGCCAGGCTGGAGGCACCCCCACATCCTGAATAGCAGCAAGTGATTAACAGTGGCCATCTGTGATGGATGACAAAGTTGTTTTCTGGCCCCCCTCCCATAAGGGTTGCAGCAAAGACAGGGTGCACTTAAAGTCACTATTGCACTTAAGCAAGGGGTTTCTGCAAGCCCCCCCAAGAGGACAGAAGGCAGGAGTAGAAGCTTCCTCTTGGCATGCAGGGTGGGCTGTCCCACATGGGGAGGATGCCCACAGCCTCCAACGCCGAGATGACCGGCCAGAGCAGCCCATCCCTGAGCTCAAATCCCCTTCCCCTGCTGCAGACTGTCCCACCCAGCAGTCCGCAGAAGATTCAGGGGCAGCAAGCCGTCTCCTGAATGACACTTGGGTCTATTATGGGAATGGAACCAAGAAGATAAGAAAAACCAAGTGTCACCCAGAAACCCCAAATCAGCTGCCTCCAGACTTCCCCCAGGAGATGTCCCTCAGTGGTCAGATGGTGGCTGCCCCATGTGGCAAGTGAAATATAATTAGGAGAAAAACAGAATACTCA